AAGGGAAAATCTGGAGAAAATTGTTCTCTAAAAGATTTTCTGCTAAGAATTTCTTGTCAGTTCTCCCAAAAGCTTTTGTTGTACATATTGATCAATAACCGTCAAGGTGGTTGACGGGGTAGTGATGGTTATATAATGTGTACATATGTCTGAAGCCCATATTGTCTTTGGTTTTTTGTGTTGTACTATGGCCGTCACTACCCTGGCGGAGGCTTGCCACGCTTTTTGTACTTGATATTGATTAACACATAGACCAATAAAAACAGAAATTCTCTCATTTTTTGTTTAATTAAACTTGTATTGTTTGAATACTTAAGGGATTAGGTTTTTGAAGTTGGCAAGGAATAAGTACATTATAATGAAAACCTTCCTGCATCTCCTGTTGTTACAGGCACTAACTTAGATGAATTATTTGCATTATTTGTTGGCAGATCCATAGTACAAAGTGGAATGTGTGATAGTATATAATATATATATATCACATATATATCTGAACAAAAATTCAGAAACAAGCATTGTTGATTGTCCAGATCACTACCAGGATGCCTGTGAATAAGTAATCATGATGCAGTGTTTAACTGTAATTATACTGAGTTGGGTAGCTTTGGGCAAGGAATCTTATTTACTTTGAGAATTAAAGGATTCTGATCTGTCTAGACAAAGCAAAATAGAGTAGAGTTTTCCGTCCATTTTCTTTCTTTTATTTTTTTATTTTTTTCTTTGCTTGTTTGGCTTCAGCTTGCTCCATGCTACCCAAGTTTACTCTGTTGCTAGATGATGGCATTGTATATTAAGAATTGACAACAGTTACGGTCTTGGGCACAATGAATATACTTATGAATATACATGAAGGTTCAAAAATTCAATAAATGATTTCAGTAATTTTATTAGTGTGCTTTATACATAATAAAGATTTGAAATATAAAGAAATGACATACAAAATGGTTGATATTTTATTGCGAAATAAAAGTAAAAGATTGAAACCAGGATTATGTCACCTAGAAGTTAACAAATTTTGTTTCTAACATTCTGACCAATAATATAAAGTTAGATGATTTGAACCTTACAAGTTTAATACTGTATGCACACAGTTATTGACAGGATGAAGCTGCAGTTCTATCTTCATGCTGTGTTTCTTTATTTGGGAACGCAAAAGAGAACCCTCTGAAATTTGCCTTCAGTATAAGGTCTTGCTAGTCTCATTTCTAGGAAATTGAATACTATTATGAAACGTTGCATTCAGTATTTTGTTGAATTGAGGTTGCATTTGCATATTTTTTCCTCCCCCGTCAATGAAAAGGCTAAAGACTTAGTTATTGATCATTTCAGATTTTTTCATCAGTTCACACGAATTGATATGATCAGTGAGCATCAGTAGAGATGATATCAACGGACGAATAAACTGCTTGGTAAGCAAGAAATTTCTGATTTCTTGCCTGTAACATCACCTTTACAAGTGCCTGCTGATCATGCCCACCTGTGTGGACAAGCCTTCAGTTTTCCTCCTCATCTTAGGTTCAGAAATAAAATCAATATTTTGTTTTAAGCCTACATTTGAAATACCATCCACCAGAACTTACTTTTGTCAACTGCTAGATGCATAATTGACTGACTTGAACTTGGTTTTCATGGCTAATATTATCTGAAGAAAACTTTACTTTCTGTTGATGAGAAAATATTCCAAAAAGAGTTGTGTAATACCTTCCAGTGTCAAAGGTAAATTAAGTTTTATTCCAAATATGGTGTCAGATGACTTTGCAATTTATTTATTATTTTTTTTTTAGAACTTTATAATAAATATATCAACATCTTGTATTTTTAATTTTCATTACTGGAAACAAAGTGAACAAAGATAAATTTAAAATTAACGAGAATTTTTTGTGCCATGGAACTTGTATAAGGAGCAACATACCTGATAATCAGTGCATAATTGATATGACAAAGATGTATCTCATTCCTTGGAGTATGGCAATAAAGGCAGGGTTACCATGCTCACACTGACAAATATTGATGTGTGAAGGTGCAGAGAGCCTTGAAAGTATATATAATCAGAGTTGGGTTTCTTAGTGGTATGTTGCTAATAATGCTGACATTTTAGGAATGAAAGCTTGAATTAGTAGTTCATTGTTACTTTTTTTTATGTAGAAAATGCATTTAGATTTGCACTGCTCAGTTGGTATGAAAATGTCTGGTATTAAAACTGAATTTATGGAAGAAAGAACAATGGAAAAATGTCAAATAGAGCATTTACTTATTTATCTGTAATATTGTTTGTCAGGTGACAATATGAGGTATCAAATGAGAAAGTTATGGAAAGGACAGTTGAAAAATACTATGAGCATAAATGATAAAAATGAGGTATAGGTCTTCTATCATTTATGTTAAAAATGCCAGTATTGTGGGGGAAATTTATCCAATACTTTACTTCAGTACACCATATGCTCATCTATGACTAATATACATATTGGGTCCCCATTTTACAATGAGTTATTTGCCAAGTAATTTAACTTTAATATGTACGAACATAATATATAGAAAGCTAGGATTTTAATCAGTATCATCTCAAGGGATAACAATATATATGAAATATATGAAATTTTATATAGTGTTGAGTCTCTTGTTAAAGTTTACCAGTCTCAGTGCAACTAATTGGAACTAGAGTTAGCCTATAGGAAATAAAAAATAAAAAGCAATTGAGAGAGAAAAAAGTTGCCCACAGTATCAAAGGGAAACCAATGAGTGCAAGAAAGTCTCAAAGTGATTACCAGTGCTATTTTTATATTACCAGTATCTATTCTTTGGTATAACTTGATAAAACCCATCTTCACATAAATTTAATCTGAAAAGTAATATTGACAGAAATCACCCTGCAGAGCCAAGTATGAATCAAAGAAAGATGCTGAAAGACTTGATATCACAGCAGATGATAAGCCAATGCTGCTGTTGTGTCTGACATGGACATTGCTGATATTTTCATAGAGCCATTTAATGTTCTGGATGATGATGCAGTAGTTCAAGAGCTAATCATGAGAGACAGACAGACAGATAGATAGATTAGCACCATGTAAATTGGAGGAAAATCATTACAAGAAAAACTCCAAAATAGGGGGAATGGTTAATGGTTTAAAGTGAAATAAATGTGCTAGACATCTAAGGTCATATAGCACCAAAGGAAGGTATAGTAAAGGGTGATGGTAGGTGATGCATCAACTATCTAGAGTAATATTGAAAGGTTAAAGATGGGTAAGGGAGTTGATGAGGGAATGGGTTATGGTGATTTAGGTAAGGGAATTATATTAAGTGAAGGATATTTATGCGTCTGAGGAAGTAGAACAGGTTGTCAAGGCAGAAGCTGTGGGATTCTGTAAGGATGTCTGATATGTTGGGAGGTCAGTGAAGGGAGGATAGGTGGGGGAAAGCAGAGGTGCAGGCTGTAGTAAAGTGTGGGCAGGACAAAAGAATGTGTGGAACTGAAAGAGGACATTACATAGAGGACATAGGGCGGGTCAGAGCATGACATTAGATAGGCATGTGTGCAAAATAGGGGGAAAAATCACAAGAAAACAAGATGACTTCCCTTCAGTATCAAATGGAATGCAACAAGTGAAGAATATTGTCCATACAAGGAAAAGCTCATTTGTTACGCAAGTTACCTCATTATGGTAGTTGGCAATTATTTCAAGATTTTTTTCCCCCCTATTACTTTCCTTAACTGTTCACTATTTTTGTTCCATAGTTCAGCCATTATTATTATTATTTTTACAGGAAATAATGTTACACTGAGTATTAAAATGCAATTTCTAGGTTGTTTTTCCCATTTTTTCTAATATTGCACCAATGATATCTGTTTGCATATCAACACATGTGGCAGGTACACTTCAAATTTTGTGTACCAAAAAGATATCTGCAGCCCATTCTTTTTTCTGCAATATTTCCAAACTTTGAAATCCTGAAGTTTTAACCATATAAAATCAATATTACAATCTAAATGCATAATGTTAAACTAAAATCCACATTTATATAATGGTAGTGTTTATCTTTGATCTTATTTTCTTATTGGATTCTTCTGCACATTTCAATGTTTAGCTCTTTACTGATTTTCCATTCACAGGAAATTGTTTACACATGGTAGCACACTTTTTTTTAAACTGGACAAATGGTCATTGCAAACAGTAGCTGGTCATGTCTCTAATGCAGGCAATATATCCATCACTTAGCTGTATTCTTTTTGTTTAGGATGCATAATATATTACTTGCATGCAATTGTTTATTTCAACTCATTTTAAAATTATATATTTCTTTTTTTCAGCATACATTTTTCACTTCTTTTCTATCATTAGTGTTAATGCTTATCTCTAGATTTTTATAGGAAAATATGGGGATAACCAGAATAATGAGGCTATTTAGGTTGTCGCCAAATATGTTCAAGCAGAAATTAGTATGACAAAATAGGCAAGTGGTGTTTAGGATCCAAAGGCAAGATCTTGGAAAAAGAAACTTGTATGTGGCAAGTGTATTTTAGGCTATGAAGTAAAATGCTTATAAAACAAAGGTGTTTTGCATTACATATTACCCACTAACTCTTAAGGGATGAAATATATCACCTGTCTTTCTCAGGGATGTGTGCCCACTGGATGAAACATGACAAAAGTCATTAGAAAATCTAAATCATCCATAATACAAAATTCAGAATGATTGAAGGTGAGACAATGATGTGACAAAAATTGCATTTAAATGGTGCTTTAGAGGTTAAAGTAGCATAGCGGGAAGACTCGGTCAATACTTCCCATGTTAACTGCAAATGAACAGGAGGAATAAGAGCATTTTTTGATCTTCTAAGGCAGTGGTTCCCAACCCTTTCTTTTCCATGGCCCCAACCAATATATGATAATCTCCAAGGCCCCATTCAATGCAATGTCGCAATTTCCATATTGCTCCACAGCCTTTAGGTTGGGAACCCCTGCTCTAAGGACTGGATACTACTATAGAACCTCAGCATATGACTTTCTAAATTCTTTTATTAATCATCAATTACAGAACATCATTTATCTATGTCTATTTACATTTGATACTTCATGAACTATGGATGATGGCATAAAAACTGTAAAATAATGTTAGGAAGGAAATAATAAAACTAATAATTTAAAAATGTGTATGCAGTTGTATATATGTGTGAACATGTGTACATGTGTAACAAATTTTACAGCTACTAGTAAACATAATCTGGAGGACTTTGAATGTCTGATACTACATTTCCAACTTTAAAAAAATAACATACTGTATATAAAACAAGTACAATAAAGTAAAAACTTTTTGGAAGAATATAAAAAAGCTTATCAACATGAAGATGTATATCAGCATCCCATCCCATGTAGCAGAACTTTCTCTACTTTCAATGTGTTTTAAAATATGTCTGGGAATGCTGAAAGAACTTGATGGTGAATACAAAGACATTAGTACTTTTTCAATACAAACATCTGAAACATACCACGGTAAACCATGAACAAAAAAACTACTTTCTTATAAGTTATGTAAGAAATAAATGATTTTACAATGCAAATGGATATACTTTGGAAAATACATAAAAATAATGGATTACATAAAAATTCTTTAGAATCCAATAATAACTGACTAAATGACAGGAAGAACTCAATGTCATTAAATAGTAACTAGAGATTTACTTTAAATAAGACAATTCTTGAGTGCAAAAATAGTCAAAAATGTCAGTGACAAATGAAGGAATTCTTTAGTTTTTAAATTAACATTAACGCGCAACATCATAGCCTGGAAAGAGTTTTATTAGGCACTCACTTAATGGCTTATTAATTTTCATTGCATACCCTTTACCTAAATCGTATCTACATGCTGGACATGAAAAGACTTCAGCTTTGAAAGATCTCTGCAAGCATGCCTGACAAACATTGTGTTTACACTCTGTAGTAACTGGTTTCACCACAAGTTCTTGACAGCAGATACACAAGAATCTTTCCTCCACTGCATTCAAAAAGTTCTGAAAGAAATTTTATAACATATTAACACTTATTTCAGTAATATGAAAATCTATTACTAATGTTGATGATTTCATAATGATTTTGAAGGGTGGTCAAAATTTTGTAGGTTCAGTAGTGCCTACCATCACGTACTCCTGCATCACTATTTGAAATTTCAAAAATATTTCAATTTCTGCTTATTTACTCTCGCTCAAAAACATGATAAAAAATATATGGTCGAAATTGATAAGTCAGAAATATACTGCAATGATATAATTATATATAAAACAAGTAAACAAACTACATATTCTCAAGTGTCTTATTTTACTCAATATTCTTTAATCTCATACTCAGTAACTGAGCTTCTTAATCAGTTAGATGCATCTACAACAAACAATTTATTTCAGCCATCGGTGAGAAATACTACTTACTGATCGTCCCTCTTCTAAGAGCTGTTTACTCTCTTCCCAAAGTTTACGGTTGCTTTCATCTTCTGCAATCAGTTTTTCAATTTCCTTTTCCAAAGAAAATCCTGCAGTTTTTCTTTTCTTTGCCTTTGAAGGTGTATTTTCAGATTTCTACAAAGAAAAATAATAGATTAATTAAAAGTAACCTCAAGAAAAAAGTACAAATAAATGTTATAATCTATTCTTCTTTTTGGTTGATGTGAGTAAACACAGTTTACTTGCCTCTGCCTCAGTCTCTATGCTCTTCTTTCTCTTCGAGTTCTTTTTCTTCTGTTTTCCTTCATCATCACTTCCAGATGTACTTGCATCTCTTTCCTTCTTTGCAGATTCCTCTTTCTCCTTTTGAGCTTCAAGGTAACCCTCTGGATACTGAAATCCAAAATTCACTCAAATAATTAAAAATTAACTGCATAGTAATCAGTTGTCAGTTATGTATCTTTTGTGTGTAATATTATTTGCAATAATATTACTAATTAGCTACCATAGCAAACCACAACATTTCTATGTATACCTAATCTACTTCCTACAGCAGATTATATTGTGATTTAACAGTACACCTAAGGAAATATACCTTGGTTGATCCCTAGATTCCACACCCTAGCTGGGGCTTTTTCAAGTTAAAATTTGCTTTCATACTAAACTGTTCCCTTATGCAAGAAATGTATTTTGACTGGTTTTGCTTATATCTTTGTTGCCATGTATTTCTGCTTCTTCTATAAGTCTGTAAGCCAGAGCACTTTCTCCTAGAGCCACTAATTGGACACAAGTTTTTGTACAGCAGTTTCACATATTATTTAACATCTCTAAGATCTCATAACAAACAAGAAAGTATTAAATTTTGTTGATGTTTTAGATAACTAATACAAATGGAAAATGATAAAAAATGGATGCATACTAAGGACAATTTTAAAAGTGCAGTTTTGTCTTGTTTTTTTTTTCTTTACCCATTTGCTCTTGAATTATGTCCGATCCACTTTAGTTAATACCACCCCCCCTCCCCACACACACACAGATGGCTCCATAAGTTCCCAGCTACCAAGGAATCAATCAGTGGGCCCTAGTGATGTTATATTAGCAATCAGTGACCAAGCACTTGTGGAGCCACCTTTGTGTAAATACAATTAATAAACTAAAATTACAGTGGGCATGGCATGTATTTCTGCCATATGGGGACAGTAGATTAATTTGGAAGATACTAGCTCAATTTTAGCTGTAGTCATTTTGAATCATTACAATATGGGAATTGAGAAGTTATATGTGCATAAATTTCCTTTAAATCACTATACTCATAATCTTGATACTGACAAAGCAACTCTCTTTAGCTTTTAGAAATGAACAAAAATGAAAAATAAAAAAATAAAAAAAAGTAGTGTATAAGAAACACATTTTGGATAATTAACTGCTGCTCCACAGATATTCGAGTTTTCAGGCGAGCTCAGTACTATCACAAGAATCTTCCACTTAGATAGCCTGCCTTTGTGCCTAGCTCAGGGTATAAAAAATTTTTCAGCTGCCAGATGCTACCTTCTGTGTGATAAGCAGAGGATGAGGGTTAGCTGACACATTAAGCCTTCCTGCCAACAGCTGACTTGGTCCCAGACAAACCTGGGTTAACCCCTTGGTGACGGTGATGACTGTGGCCATCACGACGTAACAGCCTATGACGTGTAAACGCATCATTATATACTGTAACTGGGCCGGCTGTATACAGCTTAGGCATAGCCACAAAGTCTAGACTGTTGTGTAATATTACATCACAAATAAATCAGGCCCCATCACCATAGGGTTAATAGAAGTGATAAGCCATATATGACATGATATACATTATAGTTCTTGAAATGCCCATTTTCACTTATCACTCACTGGCATCCTCTAGACTTTTACACTAAAACCAAGTGATGAATGTTATTATGAGGTTTTATAAGCTGTTTGGTAACATAGTGAGTGATAATGACCAAGTTACTCGTCATATAAGTGATGCCAGCAATACAATAACTGCTGAGGAAAGGAATTTGGCATACAGACAAAAGATATTAACAAAAGTGTATCCAAAGATTTTTAACACTAAACTTAATGAAACAATAAAATCACAGACAAAAGGTACTGCTCATACTCAAAGCATGTAATAGGAAAAGCCTTAGTGATGAATTAGCAACTTACCTCCATCTCTAGGCCTAGTTCCTGTATTCTCTTTTTCCCTTCCTTAGTCCATGGGGCAGGGATAGGGTCATCCCTTCGTAAGAGGTACCGCCACACTTTGAATCCACTTTTCCCTTTTGCTTGCCAGTACTTTACAACTTTATAAATACCATCATACCTATGAGCAGAGAGGAATGGAGGAAAGTCCATCAAAACATACAAAATATCTTGCAAATATGCTGTAAATATGCAAATAGATACACTGACACTTTAACAACTATATCCTTTCAAACTACATGCATCTGACAAAATGGAAGACACACACACAAAATCATGTTCATACAAGGATATCTCTCTCTCTCTCTTTTTTTTTTTTTTTTTACCATATTACTGAAACTAACTGACCATCCTATTTGTAGAGCATGCAGACTTACCTATTTCCTTCTTCTGGAGCATATTCTGAATGCTTTCTCCCTTTGCAGTTCCGAATAACGCGTACAGGTTTCCCCTTTTGCCAATCCTTTGCCTCAGCTCCATTCTTGTTTATGGGTACATTACAATTCAAAGCTAAAGCTCTGTAATATAAAACATTTTAAAGTGTCAGCTAATTATTCATGCAAAATATTAAGTGGAAATAGAGAAACAAAAATCACTGCAATAGAAATGAAATACAATTTAATAAGGTCCTGACAAATATATATATATTAAGAATAAGAATAAGAAGAATCTGAAAATACTTTAATATAACTAATCATTAACTTGTCTACTACTATGTATATGTAAAATGGCTAAATACGAAAATACTTTAGTCTGGCCTTCACACAAACCTCACATATTGGTAAGACAATGGTTCCAAACCTCATTACACTTGCAACCCTTTCTCCTACTTCCACTGCAAACAGGACCCCTTGATATCAACCATTCCATTCATAATTTTTGTTACCACATATTCTTAGGCTATCTAATTGCAATAGAACATTCTTTGCAAACATGGCTTCATACTTGGCCTACAATTTTTCTTTCCTACATCTTTGTAACCCCTGATAACTCTGTGATCCACTGGCTGGGGACCACTGGGATAAGAGGAATGCAAATCATTTTTTTTCCTACCTACTACTAACCTCCTACCAGCACTAAGCTAATGTTTAATTTTGTGCAATAACCTTCAGATCATTTAGTACATATTAATAGTCAAATCATATTCAACTAGTCATAGTCAAATA